GGGGTCAGCAGCAGTGCCCAGCTGCTGGGACCCACGCAGGGCAGCGGGGGGCGGGAAGGGCAACGGCCTCGCGGGTGTGAGCCGGGAACTTTGTCCCCCACCGCCCACGCCCCCGGCTCCTGCCCGCTCCTGGCACCCAGGGCCGTGCGGAGGGAGGCGGAAACGGGAGCTGGGGCGAGCGCCGTGTGCGATCAGGGTACCCAGAGCCCCTGGGGATCCCTGACACCCGGGCTCCCCTCCTGGCCATGCCACCGCCTGCCCGTGTGGCCTCGGGTGAGTCACATTGCCTCCTCCCGTGTCCCTGGGGCAGGGTGGCTGGTCCCCCGCCACCGTGGGCTTTTCGCCCTCCCTTCCCACCCTCCGTAACAAGGTCCTTTTTATTCCTTAGGGCCGAGAATTACTGGTGGCGGGGTCAGAATAAGCGGACACTAAAAGTGGGCCAGTTCCCCCGAAACACGGTGACCTCGGTGGCAGGGCTGTCGGCCCACGACATCAGCCAGCCGCTTAAAAACAGCTTCATCCACACAGGCCATGGAGACACCAACCCGCAGCAGTGCTGGGGGTTTCCCGATAAAATTGATGAGTAAGAAACTTTCCATCTTCTCTGCACCCCCCTGCCTGCCCCCTGCCTTCCTGCCAGGTGCAGGATCTGCAGCTCAGCCTTCCCCCCTCCAAGCGCCTCCTCATCTTCGCTTGGGAGCATCGCTGTGTGCGGGGTCCCTGCGGCTTCACTAACTCCCCTGCCTCTTCTCACTAACGGGGCCGGGTGCTGCATGGGGCGCGCGGAGGCCGTGGGCTGCGCTCGAGCGAGGCAGCCGTGCCCTCCCTGGGGAGATGGGGGGACGCGGGGGCGAGCGCTGGGCCCAGCCGCGCGAGGAGAGCGTTTTCTCCTGGCCCCAGAGCCGCTCTCCGCTTCCCAGCGCTGCCCCTGCCCTGGGGGAGATCCACAGCCCTGTTTTAGCCCCCAAACAGCACGCCCAGGGCTGGATCCAGCACTCTTGGGGTGTATCGGGGCTCCTCGTGTAATGTGCACAGAAGGGAGCTGGGGTGCAAGCTGGCCACGTGCTTTTAATCGCGTGTGTCCCTTTAAAAGCACAAAAGGTAAAAAATCGAACAGAAAGAACCTCTCTTTTCCCCTTGCTCCAGCAGGAGAGAGGAGCACAGCTGAGTCCGTAATGGGAGAGACAGGAAAGGGGAGAACTGCGGGGGATCCAGGGATGGTTTCTAGGCTTGAGGGCTCCCTGTGGGACTGGGTCCACCTGGTGGGACGAAGAGCCTGACTGGGCGCTCGTTTGCGGTGCCCATCCCAGTGCTGAGCGTGGCTGCCCCACGCTGCAGCTGGGCTGGGGCACGTGGGCTCGGCGTGGGGGGCGCAGCGGGTCTCTGCCTGCATGGGGTTTGGTGTAGGAGGGTGCTTCGGGGGCGGCGGAATGCGATTTCAAAGCCTGGAAAGACCCTGCTGGTTAAAGGCAGCACCTCCTCCTGCCTCGGAGGATCCCTCGGCACC